GCCCCCGGCTGCCACCCTCCCCACCGCCATCTCCCCCTCTGCCCTCACCCCGCAGCAGCCCCCGTGCCCCGCGCGGCTGGGTGACCAACACCGGCCAGCCGCCCCCTCAGCGCGGCGAGGCAGGGGTGCGAACACCGTGGAACGGCTCCGTGTGCCCCTTGTCCCCAGCAGGACCAGCGGCACCGCATCCACGGGCCCGCGAGCGGAGCTCCCGCGTCCTCTGAACCGTTACCTGCCGCTCGCCGAGGAGGAGCAGTTTCCCTCTTCCCTTGGGAATGCAGCCCGCGGGTCACCCCCAGCAGCCCAGGGTGCAATGCAAGATCAGAACCGGCAGGTCATCTCTGCCACACTCCCAAGAGCTTTGATTCCTCAAGAAGTTGCTCCGTGCAAAACTACCTGTTTAAATAGCAGCTCTGCGTTCACCTCGTAGCATCCGGACTCCCACAGAAAGGTGTGGCGAAAACTAGTAAATACACAAATCTCTCACAGATAGAGCCACAAAGGAAGTGGGYTTAGGATTACACATTAACTCAGGGACAGCAAGAAATGAAAGCTCCGTCGTCTCCCCCTGCAAAAAAAAAACCCACCCCAAGAAACACCCTCACCCCCAGCTGTGCTTTCCTGCTGCTGTCTGAGAGGTGGGAGATGGAGAAGGCAGCAAAGACAAATGAAAAGCGTGAAAAACAACTACAGTGACAATATGGAGCCCTACTGAGAGCTGTTCATCTCAGACCCTGATACAACATCACAGGTAAGAAACCAGCATGAGTAAATTCAGAAAGAAGATGCAGAAATTCAGAAGAGTTCAGAAACCTGAAACTGGATAATGGGAACTGAATTAAAAGAAAACCATCCTTCCCGTATTTTCCCAGGATGTCGGATAATAATCCTGGAATGACCACCATGGCCCCACGTTGCCATCGAGAGAACAGGAGACTTGCTGCCAGTTCGAGGAGAAGCCAAGGACCAACTGCTACTCATTCATGCCCAGGCTATTCTGCATAAATTCTTTTCACACCGCGCAGAACAGATCTGCACTACAAAGCTACCAGTCATCTTTCATATAACAGGAAAGAACAACTGAGAGCAATAGGGATTTGGGGCCTATGATTCTGATTATACCCCTTTAAAAGATTTGATGTATGGATTTGGATGTCTGGACCGCAAAAAAAAAAAAAAGTTAATTTCCAGAAGGGAACCAAATCTCCACCCATGTGTCTTGCTTCATATCTGGTATCCTATATCCTGTCTTTAGGAAGCCACCTATCCCAAGTCCACAGCGCTCAACTCGGATGTTCAGCTGGACTGTGGATTACTGTATCAGCCATTCACAGCTGGCGCTCAGGAGCCACATGTAATTACAAGCACCAGCAAAAAATAGACAGCCTAGTCCAAAATACTCTATGATTTGACACAATTTGCATAAACCAGGATTTCAAATCTGTCATTAAGGACAGGAATTGGGGGCAATGAAAGTTGTACAGAAGCAACTTGTTAACATATCTAGCCTGACTACTTAGCTATTACTTTAACCAGCATCTCCTGCTTCAAACACTTGCTGGCAAAATCTTRAAGATGTCCTCATCTTATGCCTTGCACAGCATCTTTTCAGAAAGATCACGCATGGCATTTGTTTTAAGAACATATATCCAGAGTGTTCCAGCTATGAATAGATTGCTTCCCTAACTAACACAGACTACATACACAATTTTATACTGAACTCCAATCCCATAAAAAGTAGAAAACCTCCCTCAGAAAAGCCCTCATATCCAGCAGTAACCACTGGTTTAATTCCAAACTTCCTGTGGACAGTGGCAGGAGCCACCAAAAGGCTACCTCAGGAATTCACAAGCTGAAGTCCTTCTCCTCTCCTTTCCTGTATCCTCACGCTGCAAGCMTCAGGCCTGTAACTTTTAGCTGTAGGAAAAACTGCTGCTTTYGGCCAGTCCTGATTAAACAGTTAGAAATCAGTTAAAAGCTCTGAAACGTAACATAGGAAAATCACGTGCTGTGTACATATTCTCCAGATACAATTTCGGATTTACTTCCACTTCTGTGAGTTTTCAGAAGAGAGTAGTTTTAAATGGCATGACAGTTCTTAGTAGTATTGTGAAATTCCCAAGTATTCCCTAATACCCTCATCCTACTAGAATAATTTCTGTAGTATTCRGGACAGAGTAATTTCCTTTCATTATAATAACAGAAATTTATTAAAAGTATAAAAATAAATACCACCCAAAATCAGACTTGATGGTTAGAATAACCTACAGTTCCCATTTCTTGCATAAAAGTATTATTGTACTTTTAGCACTAGAATTCAACTCCAAGAAAATGCTCATATTTAAAATTCCAAATCCTGTTTCTCAAGGGAAACTCCTTGAATTGAGGTTAAATTGAGTCTCTGCAAATTCAAGTTACCCTGCAATGCACCAGAAGTGTCAGAGGATATTTATTCCATAATATTGCCATGGGATGTTGACATCACCTAAGCATATTTCTAAGTAAAAGCTACAATAAGATATTGTTCTGCAATAAACTAAAATCACTGACAGGAATCCTAAATTTATCTTAAATAAAGACAAAATTGGGTAACAAAAAGTATCTTACATTCCTATCTTAGACCACAGCCAAATAAGCACCTCTGAAATTGGTGGAGGCTTTGGCASTGTTTTTTCACAGACATAATTAAACAGACTTCTGTGCCTGCTATGCATATGCAAAAATATCTATAGATAAAAATAGATCAAGCAGCATCTTCATTGCAATGCAGACCCTGAGAAAGACAGGACAATTCAGTCACCTCTAAAGTAAGGCTAAAGCTTGTCTGCCTCTGTGCAAGTATTTCAGAAGCRTTTGCAAGAGAAATATTTAATGGAAACAAACACTTTGAATACATGCAAGCACAAAAATTTCAAGTTACTCTGGATCTTTTTTTTTTTTTTTTTTTTTTTTACCTCCAAGATCCTGATTTCTTGGAAATTGTCATATTCAGGTGAACATAATCTACAGCAATGCAAACTTCTATATGCCAAGTTAATTTCTAGAAACTTGCCCTCACTCTGCACAAGGGACTAAAATAATCCTCTGTTACGGAGTTTTCAAACAATAAGCTTTAATTGCCTTATTAGAAAAATAAGCACTGAAATATATATGTGATTACATTAAAGTAATTCTGTAGTCTAACGTACTACAAACCAAAGCCCAGTCATATTTTTAATGATACAGAGTAACAAGATTGGTGTTTTAGAAAGTATGCATAAAGAATAAGGAAGTATGCAGAATCATTTGGGAAACCACAGTAAAGACGAGACAAATTTGCACATTGCAATAAAAACTAAGTAGATCAATTTATTCTGTATACTATACAATGTGTATGTTTGTAAAGAACAATTGACATTTTCATCACTGTAACATCTTGACTGGGTGTAAATATGTCCACAAAATGTACTCCTGTGGCCTTTACACAAACACTGCCCTACTACTTAAAGAACAATGARAGGGAAGCCTTTGGTGCTACAGATTTGGGACATATCTCTGAAGTTGTAATTAATCCACTTGTAACTATTTCAAATAAAATGTTGGTACTATCAACTATTATTAGCCTACATGAGTACTACTCTAGTAACTAAACACTCTCTTTAAAGGCAAGTAATGAAAGGGACTGCCAGACTACAGTGTGGACAGGTTTTCTTTGAAAAAGGTCATTATCAAATGGTAAAACTCATATAATACATTATGTACATAAGTTTGGATAGCTGAGTTATCTTGCTGGAGTAAGCTGAAAGTAAGCTTCATTTTGCAGTCAAGTTTGATTTACTGTTAAGTGATTATTGGACTTAAGTTTTCAACAGTATATAGTGTTAAAATAGCTRTGCCTGCTGTTGAGGTCTGTCAGATGTGAAGGCTCATAACCAGTCACTGACCCAGTTGGTAATACAGTACTCCAAAGATGCACTTCACATGGATAAGATACTTGTGGCTGAACCTGTAGTAGCCTTAAGAACTGCAGCCACTGCGTGAGTATCCAAAGAGCCCGTGTTGTCCCAGCAGCAGGACAAGCGGAGGTGTAGGAGAACACATGGAATGTTTAAATTTGAATGGCTATTTTTAAACCTTCCTAAACATCAAGGAAACTTAGCCTATGTGAACTACAGGATAGTGGCACCAGACAACACACAGCAAGTCATCTTCAATTGTTCAAAATTTGTTTCAATCCCAGTCCTATAATTACGTTTCAGTTTTCATTTATACATACAAAAATAAAGAGGGATTTTCACATTAGGACAAACATCTATAAAAAGCAGTTTACTTCAATAAAGTCACTTTCCTTGCTATTCTGGTTTACATTTAACTTACTAAATTGCTTTTCCAGCCTAACTTCTTACCTAAAKAAACCAAGTAAGTCTGTTTCTTCAGCCCGTTCCTGTGAAAAAAATCACAAATTCATTAAAATGCTAAGGGGAGGGGGCAGAAAATGAGGAGGAACGGGAGGGGTTTTCTCAAGCCTGCCCATTATTACTATACCAAGTAAAAGACTAAAGATAAGGTTAACAATTTGGAATTCTCTGAATTGAGAAGAATATAGAGGTTCTGTAGACACTGRTAGACTTTGCTCATGCTCTGATCAAACTGAGACCAAATTAGTATTATTCATTTTCCTGATCTTTTTCTGATGCTTAAGTTTGCCTTTAGAAGAGAGCACTGCAGAAAATATGGGCCTGCATTGCCCGTGGCTAGCAAATATTTATCCTGCAAGACCTTTCTGAATATGTCAAAAGAACACATCATTTGAAAAACATGTACCCCTCATTAAAAACATTCTCTTATAATGCCTGTATTTTTTTTTTTTTAATAGAAACTGTATCAGGATATTTCCTTTAAAGAAAAAAATAAAAAAGGATTCAGTAGTTGATCTTCTTTAAAGAGCTTATGCTCCCAGAAAACCTCAAGGCTATGATTATTTATATTAAAATCAATTACATTAGAGATCACTTTTAATATATCTGATTTCACGAACAAGTGTGCTCTTAAACACATCAAGTTACCTGTCTAATATCAACTGTATTTTGGCAATCTAGTACTTATGACCTGCATCATGCAGATGATCCGAAGTTTGCTCCCATTTACTGACATGAAAAAAACTGCCTATTCCTCCATAGGTCATTATATAAATACCAGTTCCATTTTTTTATGTCACCCAAAACCAGTAAGCAGCTGTTGTATWACAAAGAGACAAGGAGTTAGACTACTACCACTTCAGGAGTTCAAGAAAAARAAATATTAAAGGGAGGACACACGCTCACTTCTAGAAATCTAAGCGTCAAAGACAACAGAATACCAAACTTTAGCAAGATTAAATTTGGGGTCTGCCACACAGGAAACTCTCAAGTACAGTCCAGTTAACCACCTTTCCCATCATCACACTATGCATTTCAGCTATAAAAGCTTTAAGAGATACTGAACAGAATGGACACCTGTGTTCAAATAYAGGTAAAAATTTTGAATTAAATTTGAATGTGGGCTGTTACTGAACAAAATATACAACTGCAAAAGCACATGGGCCGAGTCAAGTGTCAATGTGTTTCACAAATTTCAGGTTTACAGATTTTACTTTCAGTAGCAAGATTCTGGGCTCTTAGTTTCAGGTACTCTGAAAGATACAGAATTCCTTGTGCTTTGATTGGCACATTATCTGCTTTTTAAAATGTAAAATTAATTGACGTTTCAAAAGGTTGTGCAAAACTATTGTATTTACAAAAATGGCACAAGAGTGAATTCAACAGTCTATGCACATGCACACTTCATTCACATCTTCAACAAAAGTGTCTCCTAAGCTACGGAACTGAAGAGAATACCAGCTTCAACAGGCAGTTGTCAATAAGCACTAGATTCACAAGAGTTACACCAGAATGGGCAAATATTGCCCAAGTAAAAACTCTATTGTTAAAGCTGTAACAGGTTTAAGGCCGTTCAAGAGCAGGAACAAAATTCAATCAGAGCCCTGTCTTTGTTTTTATACATGCTTCACCTTCTAGCAACTTGTGGTCTAAACCTCTATTTTAGACAACAAAYCCAAGCACAGAAGAAAAAAAAAAMCAACACAACTAGAGGTTATATTAAATACAAATATGCTGTAATTAAGGTGAAATAACAAAAGCAGAAACATTAAAAGTTGTAAAACTTGCGATGTCACTTGCTGGAACCAGTCCTACACTAGGAAATGGGCAATATGTACATTTTCAAGTAGATTACATTGCTCTAACCAAACTTGTCCTTTTTAATCAGTGCATTGTTCTCAACTAGTCCAAATACTACACGTTTTACTTCTTAACAGTACTCCCTTACAATAGCAGCACATGCTATCGCTACCTGCAAAGCTGTCAGTCTCATGACTTAGTGTAAGAAAAAAAAAGAAAAAAGGAAGGAGGGGGGAGGTGAGGGTGAGAATTAACTATTAAGGAGAAATAACAGGAATGAGAATATTCATGCAGTTCAGCTGTTCTAGTCAGCCAGCCAGCTTGCTAGCAACAAGAGAAGGTTTCCGCTGCGGGAGATCCTGTGGAGTAGGAATATGGTCACCAGTGACTTCTGTCTTGTCAGGAGCTGCAGTCGGCAGTTGCTTATTCTTCATCTTTGCTTTAGCCATGTTGTAATCACCAGAATCAAAGTACTTTTGCTAGAAGACAAAATTATACATTTAAAAGCTTGAAGTGTTACTAGATATATACACCAAGTTACATACTTAAACAGATTTTTTTAAAACTTAGCTATTAAGGCTTTTTGATTTGGTTTTGATCATTGATCAAAAAATCGTATCAAATCTATCTAGCATTCATGGCTATCCTCTGAACATTAATAGTATATATGGAACCTTAACTATACTCTTACTAATCCAACACCATACAAGCATTATTTTTGCCTTGGTTTTCACAAGAGCACTGCACACACCTTCAGTCCTTGAGGTTTGTAAAATGTGTTGCAGYGAGCAAAGTCTGCCAGACAGAATAAACAAACAAACAACATACAAACTAAAGCTGGAGAACCAAGTCTGCTCTWCCATAACAGTCAAAAGTAGAACATAACCAGAAAACCTCTTAGCTGTATCTATTAAATCAGTGAAGCAACAATTTAAGTTCCAAAGCCTATTCTTTAGTTGAGTCAAATCTACTATCCAGTCCTTCCGGAGAGCACTGTGTGAATGGAATTCTTAACCCAACTCCTCATTGCTTCTCGGCATAAGACATTAATTTAGAATCTAAAGAGTATATGAAGTTTGAATTTTGCTTTAGATTCACTTTACAAAAAGTGTTCTTTAAATACAGGCATTCTTAATCTATTTTATTTCCATAAGCTTTTATTAGCATTGACCTTTATAGTTCTCCGTCTGTTCTGTTGTCACATCCCTCAAAGCACTAAATCAAATGACAAAAATGTTAAAGACAAATGATTGTTATAATTATTTGTGTCAAGATTAGGTATCATCCAAGTCATGCATGAAATCTTCAACTGATGATTGACACCCTTTRGAGAAATGGATATATTTTGCTTACTCAGAGGCCTATCACAAAGGAAGTTTTAACCTGTAACTTGCACAGATTACAAAATGCAGCCAAAAATTAAGATTCACTAGCAATTGCTGTTTACCATGCACAATCATCTCTGAAGAGACCACTCCACTCCCTAGGAAGTTCACAGAGGTAAGCAAGCTGAGCTAAGTGAGCTGAACATCAGCCATTATGTCTAAGTGTTTCTAAAGCACATATTACCACCACGCTCTCATTTTGTTTTAGTACTAACTACCTGTAAAATGTTCAGCAGCACCAACAGGTAAAGAGAAGTTATTTGAACACCTGAAATAAGAGGCTTCTACCCAAGGATGTAAAAGGATATTTATTCAGGGCTCCTGAAGAAGGCATTCAGTCTTTCCTCACAAATCAGCATATCTCTTTTTCCCAGGCAGCCAGTTCACCTGACCCACAAACTTCCATTGGCAAATCTTCCAGTTCAATCTTTTTGATAGTGTAATCCTTTCTACACCACAAGATTCTGGTGCTGTATCTGCAGAGAGGCCTGGAAACAGGCTTTTGTATTTTGTGTTTCAAGACGGAAACCATGAAAAGGAACTTCTATACAGGAACTGATAACAAATCATTCAACTTTCAGATGTTTTACTGCTATTAGCTGATATGTATTTCCATGCATAGAATGAGAATGCTTTCTACAGAAGCACTGCATCCATTCTTATCTATTATTATTTTGGAATAAACAAACTAATAATAGATAGATTGATAGATAACACCTCATTAGAGGCAAAGGGTGTCCTAACTGTCAAATAAAAGAGGATCTGAAAGCACAAGTTTAAAAAAATGTCTAAAATACACCTTTCACACAGTAAAATATCAGCCCATTTCTTCCTTTAGCTTATTTCTACATTCTTTTCTATTACACTCTATCTCCTCATAGATGGTCTGTATCCTACTCAAGTAGACTCTAAATTCGYATTTAAGTCCTGGTTTCATAAAAGCTATTTAAAAGTTCACTCACTACCCAAACTCTACTACAAACTGTAGTAATTCGGGCAGCACAAAGTGTACCAGGGGCCTAATGACCAAAAAAAMCCCTAATTCCTCCTTTAAAACAGTGTACACATTAAAAATAATTAAGAGACAGGGCACAGTAGAAAAGTATTGCCACCACATCATGAGTGGAACACTGAAAGAGGCAGGTTATAAACCAGAATCCACAATCTTTTGTCATCCCCCATCTCAGTAGCAGAATCCCAAACCCTGAACCAARTAAGATGACCTTCTCTGGATCTTAATGTGTCTGGATCAAAATACTAAAAACAAAATGGCATCCAAGCACTCAAATTTGAAACTATGGGCTGTAACATCCTTTGTAAAAATGGTACTATTTTGAAGATGAAGATGTGGGGAAAAAAATCAATAATAATCTCTACATTTGTACTGTACAAAAAGCTGTAACAATTGCTCTGTGGACAAAAAAAACCCCACTGATTTTACAGAGCTGTCTTCCCAAATCATCAGCACCATAACCACTTACCGTGTTCGTTGTGTGCCTACACAAATATAGGAAGCACCTGAGGTCTCAGGTTGCCTTWTAACACATAACAGCCTAACTCATAAAAGAAGCCACCTAAATCTACTACCTGACTGTTTCCAGAGGCCATTGACTATGCTGTGCATGCTCTAACTTATGGGAAGGCATGTCCAAAAATGCCACTAACAGTAATCAATTCCCAGGAGATGTTATCAAACATCATAAAACCAGATCACCACTGAGTAACAGTTGGTTCATGAAGGATTTGTATTTGTAATCACTGTGTGCACTCAAAGGGCCTAGACAACAGTAAATAAAATAAAACCTCCTTGGTCCTCCCTGCTCTCTCCCACTACCCTCAAAAAAAGAGCAAGAATAATGAGAGCCCCAAAAGCTCTGACTGTGTCTTTTAACAAGAACAGAAGTCGTTAACATGTCKGAAATGTACAACGTAATCACTTTATGAGTAAACAGCAACAATCAGTTAAATTACTTTAAGGACATAATGAAATTGGTGCAATGGTTACAACATGAAAATACTAATTCACTATTCATTATTCTACTATTACTCTAGGCTAGGGTTTATATCTAGAATTACAACGTCAATCTCAGGCTACTGATGTGAGATGGTGGTTGGTGTAAGACCAGCTCCAAGCTTTCATGCACTAAAAACATGGATGATATCAAAGAAYGGCCATGAGTTTTGGCAATGTCAGAATGGATAAGATCAGCACAGAACAAGGATAAGGTTCTGACCTATAATATTTACTATAAACATATATATATATATATTTTTTTTTTTTTTAATAAAGGCTATTGCAGCAGCAGTGATCCAGCTTTTMATTTTCTTCTTAAAGGTGTAGTTAAGACATTGATGCTATAAGCAGTTACTTTGCCAAATGCATAGTTATTCTGGGGAAGTGGTGTTGGAACAGGTCTCCTCTTTGTGCTTTTCCAGGAAAAGTTTAAACTTCGTAGCGGTTTTSGTCATGTGAAGGCCTGCTGAGTGAAAAAGATTCACAGATATGGGAGTTTTGGAATTTCTTGTCTACACCCTACGGACAATGAAGAACTCACTCCTTTCTGAAGCCTCTTTCTCAAGAAGTCTGAGCCTCCTGGCTTCTGGCCCAGATGAGGGTATCTTGCTTTCAATTTTGCTTCTTCAGCTTTTTCGGGGCTGATCACCTTATCCTCCATTTCCTGAAACACAATTAATAATAAGTTAAATATAACAGAATACACTATTGTCAGAACATCTTCACAAGCAATCCACCAACGTACTGATTTATGCTGGCATCTGACTGTATCCATTATTTGACATTTTCATATTCTCTCAAGAACAGTAATAGGAACTGTTCAGCTTCCCACCCCACCTAAATACTTTCCCTGAACATGTTCAAAAATAACCAACACGATTCACTTTGCTATAGACTGCTTTTACATAAAAATCTAGTCATGCTATTCAATTTCAACAGCAAAATATTCTTGAGCCAAAAGATGGGGCTTCACTAGGTTCAAACAAATACTGAAAGCTGGACAAGAGACCCAATACGTTATCCACCTACCTCTGCTTCATCGTAAGTAGCAGAGACAAATTAGTACTTGCATGCTTGAAAACCTATTTTTTATGACTCTGCTGTAACTGTGACGCACTGATGCACACCGCAAAACAGTACTGAAATACCTCAATCCCAAAAATATACTTGCTATCATCTTAATGACAGAAATACTGCAGTTCTTTATACTGGCCTTTTGTCATCCTAAATTATGACGATATAGAGCCTGTTTTATGTAGAATAAAATACTTATTCGGAATGCACTGTAAAACGTAGATGCTCAAAGTAATGAAGATATTTGGCAAAAGCTGTAATTTGTACATTCAACACTTCCACACTGACCTCTGTACGCTCCAGTTCACATGGCAATTTGACACGTACAGCACAATGTTTTTCTACTGGGTCATTTCTAAAATATCTTCAATGCAAAATTCTTTCTTCACTACCTTCCTGTACTTGGCCAACATATTTTTCTTCTGCATGCCAACCATGGTTTGTAGGAAAAAAAGAATTTACTTGCACTGGCTGTTGTAGGCCTTCAAATATAACTACCATCTGAAGTCACAGGACAACTTTCAGACAGGAAGAAAACTGTCAGTGAAATCAGGAGAGTCCAGCATTCATCCATGACTAAAGATTCATATTCCCTGTAGAGCTACATCGGGAGCCCCTTCACACTGTATCACCATCCTTTCTTTGCATGAGCCAGCATGGCTACATATATTCCACATGAACAGGCTACAGAAACTAATTCAGCTGAGAAACAACCATCTACATATATTCATTTTCCTTACTGACTGTGACTCAGTGGATCAGTCTCCCCAGTCTGGTTCACCAAGCAGCAACACAAAGCTGCAGGTCAGCACAGTGACAGGGAGGACAGAGAAACGGAGCAGCTGGGGGCTCCTTCAGCCAGGACTACCAAACACTACAGCCATGACACCAGCTGAGCACAAACGACAACGCTCTCCTACATCTCCTGGAAAAGCTCRAAGATATATCAAAGACATGTAATATATAACATCTTTCTGTTGTGTGCTCCATAAGCAAAGGATATGGTAACTCCCAACAGTCTTAAAATATAATCGACAGCCTATTTGCTCCAATAGTGCAAGACCTCACAAGGAAATTCTCACAAATCAGCATGAATCTGAATTAACAGCTCCACAACAGAAGGACAATAATCCAYATAGTGATTTCAGAAAACCTTCTACGAGGACTAAAAGAACACTTCTCAGCTACGGATGAAAAAGCAGGTAAGCAGTACAAAGATACACAAAGCCTGAACACTAAACTCTGTTTTTTTAAAACCATATATCACCAATATACCACATTGGTGGAACACCATCAATTGGTATACCACCAATAAAGACCACAGTTCTGTGTGTTATAAAAATTGTTTCCTAAGAGTTGTTCCTCCTATCATGCTTTCCYATCACATCAACAATGTCTCCCAGATCTTCTCAAACACTATCCTTTCAGCTAAACACACTTCCAAGACCTAATGCCGGGCTACTTATCACTGAACCAACAGAGCATTTAAGGGAACATGACCTGTCAATGTTAACCAATAAAAGAGAATTTAAGAATAGAGGGCCTACAATAAATAGGTTTCATAAGAATGTATTTATGGTGCCTCAGAGGAGATATTTATGCAAATTATCAGGGTTGACATACCCCAGAACTGAGAGGGGAAAAACACACACRCACACGCAGTCATCCATCCATCCATCCACGTGGCTAAAACGGATCGTTATCGTCTCTTGATTGAGAAAATTAGACTGCAAAAAAGACTGCAAAATTTGGAGAGTCAAACAGAAGCACTTGATGGCAGCTTCAAAGAGAAGATGACAGTTCTTCATACAATGAACAGTTCAGCTACAGAACTCCCTGCCAGAGGACAGAGTATATGCCAAGAATTCAGATGGATTCCAAAAGCAGCTGGATGTGCTCGTTCCCAGCTCAGGAGGCTTTTACGCCATACACTGCTGAGCCTCGGGATGGTATTCCGGGAAAGATCACTGCATGCTTCCCTAACCTTATATTCTTACACAGGCTGGGCTGTGTCCAGAAGTCTCCAAGGTTCATCACTGATCCAAACTGACACTGAACCCAAGTCAATACGGCTGTTCTTACATTTTTCCTTCGAGTTACAGAAACAACCTTGTCATTAACAACCAATGGAAAAAGAATCAAAATACACCATGTTCCTCCTTCTAGTAAATTATATTTTTGTCTGGCAGTTAAATTGTCTGCAAGAATTTCTACACCGCTAATAAGTCATCTTACATTATCATATGATAGCCAGGAGTTAGATAAATCACTGAACTGAAGCCTTTGCTTTTTAACCTTTCGAGAAGCACTAAATGGATGAGGCTTCATATCTGCTGGACAACAGAACTGCATGGTTAAAAAAGAACCGCCAGCCTTTTCAAAGCGTGTGCGAAGAGCTCACTGTCTTTAACAAAAGAATCAGTCAGAATGGCAATTAGAAATGTGAAAACAGGACTACAGTAACACCGTAACCCTTCAGTCAAGAGCTATAGCAAAGCCTGTCCAGAAACAAGAGGYACCATTTTTAACAACTTCCTGAAAAATAAGGACTTCTAAGGGGAAAAAAAAAAAAAAATCAACCAAGTACATTTTCCATGACCTAGAGGTTTCTTTGTTGTTATTGTTCAAATTCACCCTCCCCATATCCTTAGTTTTTACCCTGGAAACACTGTTTTTATGATAAGTTTGCAAACGTATCTCAATCTCCTGTTTATCATCTTTCTCATCTATCTAATACATATTCATTCTTTTTACATCACATTGGAGCAGTTCACAATGAAAGGTCTGATCATTAAGTCCCCTTTCTAGCCAAAGTTCTTTTAGGGGCTCAATCTTTTCTGGGCATACACATAAGCCCTGCAAAACGTGTTGGTTTAGACGAATTCTTCAGAGGCAAGCATTTGCTAAGCCAAATGCTCAGCTTTGTCTAGCCCAGCATAAATTGTTTTCAGTACAATTTAGTACAGCAATGCCAAAGCACAATTTTATAATACTGATATCACAGTATCCTTACAGGATATAACCTTAAAGAAAACAATTCTTTTTTTTTTTTCCTTTTCATTTGGCTTTAATCAGTAATTAGATTAAAACTGAAGCAGAAAAATTGGCAAGGGAGACTTGTATCACATATAATCAGGATATTTTCAAAATACAGCATTTAAGTACTGCATTTTAAGACTTTATACTACAAGTTAGTTGGCAAAATGAGCCCCGGTCACCTGACTTCATCAGAACACACTAGAAGGCATCACAATAAACTTGCTACCGCATGTTTTACTACTCTCTTATTACAAAGCTGTTCCGGGACTGCTGCCATAGATTTATTTTTATGTGCTTTGAATAGAAACACTATCCTTTCAATAGTCTACCTAAGCGTGAAAGCAGATCCGAGCTGCAGGACACAATTTTAGCAGCATGAACAATACCTGCCAGCTGTAGAGGTGGACCCAACTAAAGCACTTACGACAGTATCATTCTGTACTGCCTGAAATCACTCCTATTTGCAAGGCACACTCACGTTGCAGMCTGCAAATTATTAAACAAAACCTTAAATAGGTGAGGCAGAACAAGCTTCTCCTTTTACGGCCCTTAAGAGCAGCGCCCGCGTTTCATAACTTCCTCCTATSGGGAATATCCTTCCGATGGGGAGTAGCGGTGGGGACTGCAGCCGTGTCGGTTCAATAACGGCAAACCCGGAGGCCRAAGGGCTCTCTGGAGCTGCACGGGGCCCGCGCCCCGTCTCGGCGCCGCCGCCGGCTCCAGCCACGACCCACCAGCGCCTTTCAACTTCGCGGCTGCTCCTTCTAGAAGCCACGCCGCAGCACACCGAGCTGCAGCAGCGCGGCGCCGCTCGGGATATTTTTCGCCCTTGGTAGATTGTATTAAATAACTGAAATAACTGAAAATGAGGAAACAAAAGCGGCGGCAGGCTGGCCCGCCGGCGCGCGGGCTCCGCGGAGCGGAGCGGCCTCCGCCGAGGACACGGGGGGCGGCGGAGCGGGGGCTGCCGCGCCTCGCCCCTCCCGCCCGCGGGCC